CTTTGGGCTCGCGTTGTGTTTGGACGGGCAGGTGGGGTGTTCAGGGCCCAGCTGCTGACACCTGATCCCGCCCTGGCCAGGTGGGAGGACGGAGATTGGCGGCTGGCCCCTGAGATGCCCAAGATAACCAGACAAGGAGATAACCAGAGTCAATCCCAGTCGAGTTGGGTGATAGGCTGAGATGACGCACCGAGCCGCTGAGGCAGATCCTGTCTGGAGACACTCGGGCACCTTGATCGCAGGCAGGCCTGACCTGGCGGGGGGCGGGGGAAAGTGGGCACCAACCTCGGTGTTTCCGTGGCTCAGAGCTTCCGTGCCCTTTGGCTTGCTCTGCTGTAGTTTTGTTTTTGGGTCACACCTGGACGTGCTCCAGGGTCACTCTTGGCTCTGCACTCAGGACTTACTCCTGGAGGTGCTCGGGGGTCCCTATGGGATGCCGGGATTGAACCCGGGTCAGTTGTGTGCAAGGCACACATGCCCTCCCCGCTGTACTAGACTTCTGGCCCCAAGGCCCAAAACTTAAAGAAAAATCCTTGCTGGGGTTTCCCCGTCCCTGGCGTCCTGTCAGCCTCGTGGGTCTGCACACGGCTTGTGCGACTGCCTCGAGTGGCCAGTGACAAGGGTGCCCGCGTGTCCTCCTGCTCCCCAGGGCTGCTCTCTTCCCGGTGCTCCTGGCCCTGCAGCCCTCAACTCCTGCCCTGTGTTCACTCCTCCTTTCTGTGGTGTCCCCCTCCTCTCTCGGTGGCCCTCCCCCTGGGGTCACCCCCCTTCCTGCGTGGTGCTGGGACAGCAGAGCTGCCGGGATTGTGCCGGCTTTGTGCCAGGTGCACGGTTGACCCCGGGGGCTTGGATTCAGGACCTCCTGCTTGTGAGGCAGTGCTCAGAACCCCCTCTTGTACATTCCTCCCCTCCAAGCTGAAGGAACAGACTTGACCCACGTTCAGGCTCACACTTCTGCTTCCTGCCGAATCACTGCCGGCCGCTAGCAGGCCAGGACCCGTGTGCCACGCCTGTGTGAAGCAGGGACGTTCCAGGGCTTGAGCCTGCTAGCGTCTTTGTCATGGACACACGTGGTCCCATCACAGGATTTAGGGTCAGGGTCCAAACACAGGAGCATGGGGGTGGGGTGGTGGGGGCTTGTTCAGGCCGGAGATTCTACTAGGCTCACACACAGCATTGAGTGCTCAAGTCTCAGGGAGACAGTGAGGCTCAAACACATTTTCTTTTGCGCTGTTTTTTTCTCTTTTTTTTTTTTTTGGCTTTTTGGGTCACACTCAGTGATGCTCAGTGTTGCCTACTGACCAAGTAAAAGAATGCTTGATTTTTCATTCCCCCTTTGTCCTGCTCAAAGCTGGGCAACTTCCCAGTACAGGAGGTTTCAGTTTGGGGAAAATGCACCCTCGTAAATGATTTGTAAATGGTGTATGAGGAACAGCACAATCTTTGCAGTTATGTCAAAGCTATATCAAAGCAGGTCGTTCTGACCAATAGCATTATGCCGAAAGGGTCACCAGGTGGCTGACCAACAGTGCATGGCTCTGCTCATTGTCCCATCCACTTTCCCACGTCCCATCCCGTTTCCTTCTTTTGGGTGGGCTGTGGAAACATACTTAAGTCTGTACTTATGCTCTGAATAAACGCACGCATTCATGCCATCTCCTGAATGACGAACCCTGTGTGACTCGAGTGCTGATTTCACCCTGACGGCCCTCCCCTGGCTCTGCCCCGCAGCGCCGGACGTGGCACTCAGGAATTCCTCCTGGCAGTGCTCAGGACTGGTGATCGAATCTTGGTCAGCCGTGAGCAAGGCAAACCCCTCCCCACTGTGCTCTCACTCCAGCCCCTCCTTTTGCATCTTTTTGTGTTTTTTCAGAATTGATTGATTTCCAAGTAGCGTTTGCTGGCCCTGACGTTCTCTGCAGAGTCCCTTGTTGCACACTGTGTTTCGTGGGCACCTTGACATGAAGACTTGGCGCTTGCCTGGTGCATGGCTGACCCCATAGGTACCCTGAGCACCGCCAGGAGTGATTCCCGAGTGCAGACCCAGGAGTAACCCTGAACACTGCCGAGTGTCCCAAAAAACAAAAGGAAAGAAAGAAAATAGGTATCCTTGCCTGGAAGGGTAGCCCAGGGCCAAGGAGCCTGCCTTGCCTGTGGCTGACCCCACCCCACCCTGTACGTCCCTTCCCACCCAGGTCCTGCCAGGATGAGCTCCCATGACTGGATCAGAGTCAGCCCTGAGCACCGTCAGATGTCCCGTCCTCAGCCCCCAGGTTAGGTCACTCCGCCCTCCCCACCTCCCCCCCACTCCCCGGTTCCCGCTCACTCATCCTCGAGGGGACCCGCACTCATTCAGCTTGTGCTCCCATCCGGAGCAGGCCAGGCCATACTCCTCTGTACAGCTCTCAGGCCTTAGTGGGCTGGGCCACTCCCTGGCCACGGTGCGGCCGGTGTTGCTCACAGCACTGGGGTCACAGAGAGCAGGGCTGTCAGGGTCGAACTCAGGGCCTCTGCCCTGTCGCTCTGCCCCCCCCCCGCCCCGCCCCCGGCTCACAGATTTCCTGGCCCGGCTCCTGAGGAGGGCCCTGGGCAGGGTCTCTGGGTCCAGCTCCCACTCGGGGGATGCTGAATGACCTCAGTTGGAGATCTGTAACTGACAAACATTTGTCAAAAGTTTTCTGAAACCACTTTCACAGGGCCCGGGGATCCAGAACTGGGCCCCACAGGGACCAGAGGCTCGTTGGCCATGTAGTGCTGACGTCTGCAAGGGCAGCCCTCCGGAGCCTCAGCCAGACACTGACATCACGAAGGGTGGCGCCTGCCCCTTTAAGAATGGCCCATGATGCCCTCCTCCTTGCTGAATTCTACTTCTACCTCAGAACATTCTAGACTCCAACTGCCATTTTCAGTCTCTCCACGAGACTGGCACGAGCCTGTTTGGCAGAGCTCAGTACTGAAGCTGCGAGTGCAGTGTGACACAGGTGAATCTGAGTCTCTGGGCTTTCTGCCCGCGTGCGGGCGGCTTTTTTCTCTAACAGTTCTTTAGTGTATGATAGTTTTTAATCTTTAGTTAGTTTAAGTTTTTTTACTAGTTATATATATATATTTTTGGGTGGGGTGGGGGCGGGGTGGGGTGGGGTGGCCATACCTGGCTGTGCCCAGGGGTGACCTGGCCGGCTAACGTCCCTGTGCTGACGGAGATCGAGCCCAGGACAACTGGATATAAGGCAAGTGCCCTCCCCACTGTCCTGCCTCTCTGCCCCTTGTGGACTTCTCTATTGAAATATGGAGTGACTCTGAAGTCAGTGGGCCCTCATGGGGGGCTGATGAGAAGCACAGGAGAAGATATCACTCCCCCGGGACTGGCTGGAGCGCTGGCACTGCTGAGTGCAATGAGCCCTGCCAGCCCCATGACGCCCACTAGGCCTTCCCGGGGTCTTGGGCCGGAGTGAGGGGTTGCCCTTTTCAGGGAAAGGGAGTCGATCCTCGACCTCCTCATGCCCCCGGGTCTTTGTCCTCCTCGCAGAAAAGCATTTCAGGAGATGAGCATGAAGCAGAAACATTTTATTTGGAGGCCTTTAGGAAGGGGAAGGAGGGAGGGAGTAACACGCTCGAGAGAGAGTGCGGCTTCTCCAGAGGTGCAGAAAGCCACTGAACATGTTATGTTGCTAGGTTGCATTCGGTCTGAAAGTCCACACCTCAGGAGGGGAGAAGCCCGTGACATGATGGACCTCATTGGCAAGAGCAGTACCTGGGCTCGGGCACACATGAGTGCCCTCCCTTGGTTCAAGGTGGCTAATCTAGGGATTTCCCCAGGCTGCCCCTGGTGGGAGTTTCTAGCTACCTAGAGTCCGTTGCTACGGTGGTTGCCAAGGGGGTAGAGTTGAGTGGTCCATGGTCCTCTTAGAAATTCCTTTCCTGCCCTTTATTCCTATTACCTTGGGGGGGGTCCAGCCTGCTCTGGTCCTCATAATGTGGGTTAATTTTGACCAGACCTTGGGTCCCGTGCACTCAGGTAGTCTTTTGGTGGCCATGAAGCTTTTGTTGACTTTCTCGGAGTTCCATCGCCATGGGGACGCTTCCCCCATCTACCTGTCTGCCTCAGTTCTGTGGGTTAAGAAATGGAGTAAATACTGGCTTGTGGTTATCCAACCTGGGCAGCGTCACAAGGAATGAAGGAAATGCCGAAAACTCCTTCGCTCCCCTTTGGCACAATTTTTTTTCTTTTTGGGTCACACCTGGTGATGCACAGTGTTTACTCCTGGGTCTGCACTCGGGAATCACTCCTGGCAGTGCTTAGAGGACCATATGGGATGCTGGGAATCGAACCTGGGTCGGCCGCGTGCAAGGCAAATGCCCTTCCCACTGTGCTATCGCTCTCCAGCCCCCCATGGCGCAGTCTTGCTGGGCCCTTTTCCCTTGCAGTTCTCAGCCCATAGAAAAAAGTGTGCCTGTTGCTTGCCTTAGCTTCTACGTGTAACCCCGGGCCTCTCACACATGTACATATGCACACACGCACACACAAGACCAGCCATCACTGCTGAGTTGCCTGCCGGCTTGTCAGTGTCTGGACGGGGAGGTGGTCAGTGACACTCGCGATGCTCAGGGATGATTTCTGGCTCCTGAATGTGTTTGGTGGTGGGAGTGATGGCAGGGAGGGCGTGAGGGTCAGCTGCCCGCAGGGCTAGTACCTGTCCCCTCTGCTCTCTGGCCCCGAATCGGCAGTTGTTTGTCTGTTTTGGATTGAGTTTTTGCGCAGGAATGACACTTGGTGGGCTCAGGGGGCTGTGCGGGAGACTGGGGGTCGCACTCGGGGTGGCGAGTGCCAGACTGGCAGCTCTCTGGGCTCCGGAAGCTGCTGTGGTCGCTCCCCTGAGACAGACTCTCTCCTCTGCTCTTCAGAGATTTAGTCCTGAGAAAGAGTGTGCCTCAGAAGGCCCCACAGTGGGCTCGATGGTCGGGGCCTGGTACTGGCCGCGGCAGTGTCTGACCGCCTGACCATGAGTCTGCTGAGGCCCAGCGGGCTGAAGGCCCCCACCAAGATCCTCAAGCATGGGAGCTGGGCCCTGAAGGCACCCTCGGCCGGTAAGTGCGCTCAGCCCAGGCCAACGGAGACTCATTCCCACCCGGGAACCCCATCCCGAGTCCTCGCCCGGGAAGGGCTCCCTGAGCTGTAGACACGTCCGTGGCTCTGGGGACAGCTCTCACACACGAGTGTCATGTTCTGTGAGTTTAGTGTCACGGCAACCGGTGAGAGCTGAGGCTACCAACACGCTCCCTTCTAACTGCTAGCTCCCTTGCCCGGGCTTGGGGACAGGCTTAGGGAGGTGGACTCACCTGGACTAGAGGGCCTCATTGCCGGCCAAAGCCACAGTACAGTGGGGAGGGCAACTGGCACCCCATGTGACTCTCCACCCTCAACCTCACCATGAGTAACCCTGAGCGGAGTACCAGAAATAGGCCCTGAGCATTGGCTGGGTTGCTCCCCGCCCAAAAGAAAAAGAAGATGGGCCAGTGGACACAGCAGAAATAAGACACTGGGTTCGAGCTTTCACCTGGCTTGGTCCGTAGTATCACGGGGTGTATCCAAAGATTTCCCCTGAGCTGCCCAAAGTATGACTGCGGCCTGGGATGCTGCGGTAGGTGAGCACGTCCGCTTCACGGCTGGCCCGGCCAGGCTTCGCCACAAGCAGCCCCCGTCATTGGCTGGGAGTAGCCACGAGCACTTCTGGGTGTCCCTCTCCCCCAACCACACTTTAACTGGACCTGCACAGGCCCTTCCTGTCCCTTCTGACCCTTTTGACCGTTTCTGCTGTTCCAGCGGCTGCTCCCGTTGAGAAGACCGTGCCTGGGGAGAAAACCCCCAGCGACCCCTCCTCGGAGATGCAGGAGGAGTTTGCGGGCGACTTCCAGGTCGGGGAACGAGTCTGGGTGAACGGGAACAAGCCTGGATTCATCCAGTTCCTCGGGGAGACCCAGTTTGCCCCTGGTCAGTGGGCCGGGATCGTCTTGGACGAGCCCATCGGCAAGAACGACGGCTCGGTGGCGGGTGTGCGCTACTTCCAGTGCGAGCCGCTGAAGGGCATCTTCACCCGGCCTTCCAAGCTGAGTAGGAGCTTGCAGGCCGACGATGAGACCAACTGCCGGCAGCCAGCGCTTGCCGCCTGGGCCACACCGCCCCTGTCGGCCTCCCCGGCCCTTGCCGGCACCGCGAAGGTGCCCCAGTCCCCCGCGAAGGAGGCGCCGGCCACCCCTCACATCAGCAGCCTGACCAGGACGGCCAGCGAGTCCATCTCCAACCTCTCTGAGGCTGACTCCCTCAAGAAAGGGGAGCGGGAGCTGAAGCTCGGGGACCAGGTGCTGGTGAGTGCCGAGGGCAGCGGTCGCGGGTGGCTGTCCATTCGTCTGTCTGGTTCATCAGCTCCTCCAGACTCGCGGTTTGGGTGGAAGCACGAGCAGCCGGGACGCCTGGTCCTGCAGTTTCCAGCGTGATGGATGCGTGCGGGGATGCTGCCAGTTTTACCAGTTTAGCCAAAACAGGGTGGAGGGGTCATGCCGTGGGGAGGGGTCATGCTTTGCACGCCTCTGACCCAGGGTTTAAGACTTGGTCCCATGTACAGTCCCCCAAGCACATCCCGGAGTGATCCGTGAGCACCAAGCCAAGAGTAAGCCCTGAGCACTCTCACTGTGACTCAAAAACAAACCAATGAACAAAGTTGGAAATCGGTTCTATTTCTCTGGTTTTCGATGTTTTTGCTTGGGGCATCACAGGGTGGTCGCACACAAAGCACCCTTCCCCCGGTGCTCCAGCCCTGTTTGTCAGCATTCCTGTCAGTGTCCAGCGCTGTGATTCTGTTTTGCTCTGTGTCCCGGGAGCCAAGCGTCAAGCCAAGGCATAGTGAAGGAGAACTGGAAGATCGAACTCTGCTAAGATACGAGAACAGTCATTTTCCTTTAGCTGGTTTCTGGCTTAATTGTTCTCCAGCGGTGGGGTTGCCAGTGCTCCGCTCCCACACCCAAGGGGCAGCGACCCCCTCGCCACACCAGGTGGCTGGCCTGGGTCAGAGATTCCCGGGGGTGTGGTCAGCCAGGCCACCGGTGACAGCGAGTGGGTGTGAATGCCGCTGCCTTGCATGGACACTGAGCAGCAGCGTCTGCTCACCCTGTAGGGGTTGCGGGGGGAAATGGCACCTTTGGGGTTTCTTCAGGAAATCCCAACTCTGAAGCCAGAATGTTCGTTTGCGGGGGTGGGGGCGCTGTGAGCAGTCCAGGGTGCCTGACCCACGTCCCTCCATCCCTCTGGCAGGTGGGAGGCACGGAGGCGGGTGTGGTGCGCTTCCTCGGGGAGACGGACTTCGCCAAGGGGGATTGGTGCGGCGTAGAGCTGGACAAGCCACTGGGCAAGAACGATGGTGCCGTGGCCGAAACGAGGTGGGTCCCCCTGCCCCCCCCCAGACAGCCTGGGGCCATGCACGGTGCCCGGGAGGCGCTGAGGGGACTGCAGGCCACTTCACTTGGTTCTTAGGCGGGGCCACTTCCAGTGGCACTCGGGGACCCTGCAGGGATGTGGGTACAGCCTGGGGCCCCCACATGCAGCTGTGCTCGGGCCGCAGGAACCCCCCGGGCCTGCTGTCACCCTTCAGATGCCGGGGAGGCTGCTTGGAATCGCCCTTGGTTTGCGTGGATGGGGTGGGTGGCATGCGAGCGAGTGTGGGTGTGAATGTATGAGGGAGTGTGTATGTGAGCGTGTGAGTGTGGGGCTGTGAGAGAGTTGGTGGGGGCGTGGGCATGAGAGTGTTGGTGGGGGTGTGAGCGTGTTTGTGGGGGAATGAGAGCGTGTCAGTGTTGGTTTGAGAGTGTGCAAGTGTTGGTTGGGGTGTGCGTGTGTGTTACTGTGGGGCTGTGGGTGTGTGGGAGTGTTGGTTGGGGTGTGAGTGTGTGTGGGTGTGGGAGTGTCGGTGGGGTGTGAGTGTGAGTGTGTGTTGGTTTGGGTGTGAGTATGTGTGTTTCTGGGGAGTGAGTGTGTGTGAGTGTGGGGCTGTGGACATGTGGGAGTGTCTGTTAGGGTGTGAGTGTGTGTGTTTGATGGGGTGGGAGTGTGAGAGTATGGGAGTGTTGGTTGGGGTGTGAGTGTGTTTGTTGGGCTGTGAGAGTGTGGAAGTGTGGGAGTGTTGGTTGGGGTGTGAGTGTAAGTGTGTGTTGGTTGTGGTGTTTATGTGTGGGAGTGTTGGTTGGGGTGTGTGTGTGTGTGTTTGTTAGGTTGTGAGTGTGTGTGAGTGTGGGCTGGTGGAGGGTATGATGTTTGTTGGGGAGTGAGTGTGAGTGTGGCGCTGTGGAAATGTGGGAGTGTTGGTTGGGGTGTGAGTGTGTGTTTGTTGGGGTGGGAGTGTGAGAGTGTGGGAGCGTTGTTTGGGGTGCGTGTGTGAGTGTGTTTGTTGGGGTGTGAGTGTGTGGGCATGTGGGGCTGTGGGAGCATGTTCGTTTGTGGGGGTGTGAGACTGTGGGACTCAGTGGACTTCTGGGTCGGCGCTTGTGTCTCTTGCCGAAGGTGTTTTTGTCCCCCCCTCCTCATTGTCCGCAGGTACTTCCAGTGTCAGCCCAAGTATGGCTTGTTTGCTCCCATTCACAAAGTCACCAAGATCGGCTTCCCGTCCACGACGCCAGCCAAGGGCAAGGTGGCCGCCGTGAGGCGTGTGATGGCCACCACCCCCGCCAGCCTGAAGCGCAGCCCTTCGGCCTCCTCGTTCAGCTCCGTCAGCTCCGGGGCCTCATTCGAGAGCAGCAGATACGGCCGCACGGGACTAGTAAGCAGCCCCCTACCACTGCGGGGTGCTCGGGCCCCCACAGACTCCCACAGCCCCAGGGGCGAGAGGCGGAGCAGGAGCACGTGGGCTGAGCAGCTCCGGGTGGCAGGCGAGTGGCTTCCCAGCCACCACCAGTGACAGGAGCAGGGATGGGCCTTTCCTGGGGTGCTCAGGGCTCCTCTCTGGCCTCAGGCCACCTTAGGGATGAAGTGGGGTAGCTGAAGGGGGCGCCTGGGGGTCAGAGCAGGGCCCAGAGACTCTGGGGAACGCTTGGCCCTTCATCTTGCTTCTTTGCTCTCTCCGTCTCTCCCTGCTCCCTCCTGTCCCTCTGCACCGCTGTCCACATGCAGAGTGGCCTCGACTTCTGTCCATTGCGGTGCCGCAATTCAAAGCTGCGGCCTCGTGGCTTCTCCCCTCACGTCTATCTGAGTCATAAACACTAAAGTGTGTCTGAATATGCAAGGGTGCCCTGAGATATTGTCCACAGGGAAACGGGCCCACGATGGAGAGGGTTTCCGGGGGGCTGGCTTTGCTGGGGGCTGCGCTTCCTGCCGCCGCCTCTGCTCCGTGCATTGACCCTCGATGCGGAAGAGGAGGGAGTGAGTGTGTGTGCAACGGAAGATACAAAACAGATGACACGGGAACGGGAGCCAGGAGGCCACGCGCCGTGGGCACAGGCCTGGGGCCAGTCCTGTCTTGCTCGACCACCACCAGGTTTCCCTGCCCCACCTGTATCCTCACGTCCGACTCCTCCTTCCCTTCGCCTCACCATTTAGGAGGAGAGCAGACTCAGAAGCCCCTCTCCTTCCCTCGCGAACCAGCCCATTTGTGGAATTTGGTTTTGTTTTTCTGCTTGACTGTGGGCCATACCCTACAGTGCTTCAAGGGGCCGTTTGCAGTGCTGGGGTTGTGCCGGGGCCTCCCACCTCCAAGCAAGAGCCCTACGCCTGAGACGTATCTCCAGCCTCCCCCCGCTATCTTGTTTTGTTCTGTTTTGGGGTCATACTTGGCAGAGCTCAGGGCTTTCTCCCACCTCTGTGCTCGGGATTATTCCTGGCGGGCCTCCGGGATTGAGCCTGGGCAGCGCTGGGGCTTCGCTCTCCAGGTCTTTGGCCCCTGCCTTGCATATCTTTATGCAGGGTGGAGCTCACTCCTAAACTGAACATCACCGTTAGCGTCTATGACAGGAATATAGAAAGATTCTGTGTGACTTCACGGAAGTATACCTCGACAACATAATTCCATAAGTGCACACACAAGCGTTCATACACACAGTCACTCATACATGTACACGTAGTGCATACCGTATATACACAGGCTTATGGGTATACACACACAGGCACATACATGCATAAACACAACGCGCGCATGCACACAGGTGCGTGTAGACATGCCCACTGGAACATATATGCACGCATACATACGTGCACACAAGTCCGTGCGTGCCCTGTGGAGGCCTCCCTGTTCGTCTGTTGGCTGAGTTGCTCTTCTGAGGTACCAGGCTCCCACAGAAGGCCTGGCCTTGCTGGGATGGAGCCTGGGGCCTCACAAACCACGCGCAGGGCAGAGGCTTTGGCATCAGCATCCTGAGTTCAGCTCGTGGCCCCGACCTTGCCCAGCCCCTCAGCACGCGCCTCCCCCCATGCTAGGGGTGCTGCTTTCTCCCTGCTCCGGCGCCTGAACCTCACAGTCTCGTCTCCATAGTTGGCTGAAAGAAGCCCATCGCTCCTGTGCTGGTTTCCTCAGGGAGCTGTCTCGGGCCCAGGAAGCGCGTGCGTCTGGCCTGCCCCACCAGCTCAGGCCAGGAGGCTCAGGGAACACCGCCGCCCGCCTTTCTTAGTTTTTATTTTTGCTCTTTGGGGTTCACCTGGCAGTGCTCAGGGACTCCAGGCGTGGTGCTTGGGGGCTGCTCCCGGTGGAGGGGGGTTGAGCCCGGGTCTTGGTGTTAAACCCCCAAGGCTGGCAAGCTCTTCCCAGCCACCCCTTGAAATCCGAGTTGACTGCAGTTCCCGGGAGCACTGCACATGGCTGGCCCGAGAACTCGTGTGCTCCTAGAAATTTTAGTTCTTATTTGGTTTTGGGGCCACACCCAAGGGTGCTCAGGGCTTATTCCTGGCTCTCTGCTTGGGGGGTGGGGTCACTCCTGATGGTGCTGGATCTTGAACCTCTGCAAGCACCTTCCCCCACCCCCCCCAACAGACTCTTTGGCCCTGGGGAGGGCATTTAATCGGACCAGATATACTTTAAGTGTATCGGGAAATCACGGCCAGGTCCTTACGCACAGGCAAGGATGATCCCACTCTCCGGAGAGAACCAGGTGGCTCGAGAGCTCCCAGCAGGCAAAGCAGCAGTGGACAGCCTGGGCCCTACTGGGCCCGTCGGTCAGGAGGCGTTTGGCAGCAGCTCAGATGATGCAGGGAAGCGGCAAGAGAACCTGCGGCTGGACCGCAGCAGGGCAATGGAACAGGGATGGCCGGGCAGAAGGAGCGGAAGTCCTGGCCATCGCCGCTGCAGCCCCCGCCACCATGTGCCCGAAGAATGAAGATCAGGTCCCGCCTTGTCCCCTCCTGCAGGGGCCGTTGTGCAGAGAGGGATCTGGGTCTGCAGAGCGACCATGAGCGACTACGAGCCCAGGATAGAACGGACAGGACCCCAGGTCCCCGCAGCCCTTCAGCCCACTCCCCTCCCCTCGTCACTGTCTTTGCCTCTTCTCTCCTTCCCTTTGTGCTTGGTCTTTCCCTGAGCTGCCCTTGCTGTCCTGCTTGCTGGGCGTGAGCCCTCACACATTCGAACCCACCACTTTTTCCTTTTTTTCCCCCTGGACTTTGGCCATGCCCCAGCAATACTCAGGATTTACTCTGGACTCTGCACTCAGGAGTCACTCCTGGTGGGCTCGGGACCCTATGGGGTGGGTACCTGTTATACAGCTCAGGTCAGCGGCGTGAAAGGCCAGCGCCTTTCCCGCAACTTTATCATTCTAGCCTCTCATCTCCCATTTTCGAAGGCAGATGGCACAGGGGTCTTTTATAGGGTCACACCCAGTGACCCCTGGGGGCACGGGGCCATTCCCAGAGACAAGAGTCTCTGGTTACTGCTATTCAGGCATTGGGCGGGTGCCCGGGAGAGCGAGGTGAGCTGGAAGGAAGAGGAAGAGAGAAGGGACAGGCTGCCCAGGGAGACCCTGACGGACCTGCAAGGCTGAAGATGCTGGAGCTGGCCTCAAGCTCAAGCCAAGGGCTCATCCTTAAGGAAGCTCAAGCGGGCTGTGGAGGGGGCTGCCTCCGGCTCTGCAGAAGAGCCTCTGGATTCCCACGAGGCCCGAGGTCAGTGGAACCCAGGTCCCGTCCAAGGATCTTCGGGAAGGTTTGAAGACGTTTCTGCTGAGAGTCGCTGGCCCATATGCAAGGAGGCAGCACTGCTCCATGTGCTTTGCCAAGGATCACCGCGAGCATGCCCGTGTCGGCCGGCCCCATTCCCTTCACGTCTCTTTTTCCTTTGCAGTTGCCGGAAACCTCCTCCTGCTATGCCCACAAGATCTCCGGCACCACCGACCTCCAGGAGGCGCTGAAGGAGAAGCAGCAGCACATTGAGAAGCTGCTGGCCGAGCGGGAACTAGAGCGGGCGGAGGTGGCCAAGGCCACGAGCCACATGGGGGAGATAGAGCAGGAGCTGGCCCTGGCCGGAACGGGCACGACCAGGTGACATCTGTGCAGACGGCAGTGCCGGGGCCGAGAGACGCCTGCGGTAGAGGCTGGGCGCGAGCTTGGTGCAGGCGGTGCAGGCAGAGGCCGTGGGTCCCCGTCTGCCGTCGTTGCGTGGCGTCGGCGCGTGGTTTGATCGCATGCGCATTCTGCTCGCCCTGTGGGGGTTTAGGGAGTGCCAAGTTGTGCGTGCCGGTGCTTTCGTGGTGTGGTTCCCCTCTGGCCTTCCAGAAATGCCGTAGATTAGGTGGGCGATGCATTCAGCTTGCCGTGGTGACAGGTGGCGATGCCAGCCCACAGAGGGCTGTTGGGGGCGGGCGAGGCCACTCACGCGCCGTTGCCTCTACAGCACGTTCTGGAGCTGGAGGCCAAGAACGACGAGCTGCGGGCCATGCTGGAAGCGACCGACTGGGAGAAGGTGGAGCTGCTGAAACAGCTGGAGGAGGAGAAGAGGTGAGGCCGTGCCCGGAGCTGGGGGCTCCCTCGGGTGGGGCACTCCAGGCCTTCCAGGGCTGTGAGAACCAGAAACCAACGGGTGCCCAGTCCTGAGCGCGGCCTCACCGGGAGGGCGGGGGGGGGGGGGGCTCAGTGGAGCCAAGCCACCCCCGGCCCTCCCTGCTGTGTCCACCTGGCCTGGTATTCAGGAGGCCGGTGCTGGGTGGCAAGGAACTGTCCTAACCCAGTGGGGCCCTGTGGGAGTCCCTGTGGTTAAGTCCCAGGCGGGAGGAAACCCACAGTACTCATGGGGCACGACCTCAGACAGACAGGGCTCAGGCTAGGCTGCAGACAGACGGACGTGGTGCTCAGGCCGGGGTGCAGACAGACAGACATGGGGCTCAGGCCAGGCTGCAGACAGACGGACGCGGGGCTGAGGCCTGGCTGCAGACAGATGGACACGGGGTGCTGGCCGAGACCGCCTTTTCAGATGGGCTCCCGGCAGTGTGGTGCCCAGGGGTACTGCCAGTGCCTGGCTCAGCCCCTCAGCTCCACATGCCGACTCGACAGTCACAGGGAGGCCCTCCCCCCCGCCCCTCCCCACCGAGTCCTTGACTGCTTCTCCCCCAGGGGCTCAGTTCTTGTCCCAATGTGGGGACAGGCGCTGGCTGGGAGGGACTGGCAGGCGCCGCGGGTCAGTTTTTAACCACCTCTGTTAGCTGCGAGGCAGAAAGTGTTGATATGACACTGCACCTGGCGTTGGCTCGGCCTAGCTTCCTCCTGTAGCCTGCAGGTCCCACCCAGTGCTCGAAGGTGAGGGGACTCGCTGACTTTCTTTTTGTTCTTTTTGGGTCAACCCAGCGATGCTCAGGGGTTACTCCTGCCTCGGCACTCAGGAATTACTCCAGGCATTGCTCCGGGGTCCATAGTGGTATGCTGGGAATTGAACCCGGGTCGGCCACGTGCAAGACAAACGCCCTGCCTGCTGTACTCTCGCTCTGGCCCTCCCCGACTCTCTCAGCCCTCCTGTGTGTGGAGCCGGGGGCTGGGTCAGGCGCATCTACAAGATGGTGGCCCTCATGGGGGGCAGCAGTGACGCCCCTCACAACGTCTCCCTCTCCCCCACAGGAAAGTGGAAGACCTCCAGTTCCGAGTCGAGGAGGAGTCCATCACCAAAGGCGACCTGGAGGTAAAGCCCGGGCAGGTCCCGGAGGCTTGCAGGGTGCAGGCAAGGATGCGGGGCGGCCTGGCCGACCCCGCCGGGACCACTTCTGCTGGAGACTCCGAATCAGACATGGATACCTGGGGTCATGCACCTGGCAGGGCCCGGCTGACACATCTCTGCTCCTTGGGGCTGGAGGCTGCTCTTGATGAGCGTTTTTCTCTCGTTCTGACAGTCGGGTCTATGCCTTTGCCTCAGCTTTGATTTTCAGTCGAGCAGCACAAATCAAATCCTTTAGAACCCCATTTTTTGGAAGCTTTTCCTTAAAACAAGAAGAAGCAAAGAGTCAGTTTGGAAAAGAAAAATTTCTATTTCTGCTTCTTTTCCTTCCTGTTTTAAGTTCATGGAAATTTTGTTTTCCCACCAGAAGGAGGTGAAGTCCCTGCAGGCGGCCTCTGAGAAGCTCGCCAAGGAGAACGAGTGCCTGAGGACCAAGCTGGACCATGCCAACAAGGAGAACGCGGACGTGATCGCCCTTCGGAAGTCCAAGCTGGAGACGGCCATCGCCCCGCACCAACAGGCCATGGGTGAGCCGAAGGAATCTGTGAGCCAGGGCGTGGGCGCCGAGGCGGCCGAGCTGGCCGAGCTCAAGATGCAGATCGAGAGGCTACAGTTCGAGTACCAGCAGGAGGTGGAGAGCCTGAAGGCCCAGCAGGCGGCTGAGCGTGCAGCGCACGCCTCCGAGCTGCAGACGCTCAGGTCGCGGCTCTTCAGGACGGCCCAGGAGCAGAAGAACAGCCTGGAGGCCGCACTGGCCAAACTCGAGCAGACCGAGGACCAGCACCTGGTGGAGATGGAGGACGCCCTGAGCAAGCTGCAGGAGGCGGAGATGAAGGTAAAGCACCTGGACGGGTTGCGGGCCGTGTGTAGTCAGCAAGCCCAGGCCCTGGCCAATGCCACGGCACAGCTGGAGGCCACCCAGCAGAAGCTCTTGCAGCTCGATGGGCTCTGGAAGGCCAGTTCCGAAGGTCAATTGGGAATGGAGAAGCTCAGGCAGCAGCTCCAGGTCGCTGAGCGGCAGATTCAGGAGTTAGAGAATGCAAAGCGGGCCGAGAGCTGCAGGTTGGTACTCGGGCGCCCTCGCCCACTTCCACGCTCGCTCCCTGCATGCTGTGTGTCAGTCTGCTCGCCGCCGTGTTCCAGCTTGGTGCTGACAGGTCTCCCGGTCACGTCCCGTGTGGTTCCCTCTGAGGGGACTGAGAAGGAGTCGGCATGATTCGGGGGTTGTCATTTTCTCCAGCACCTGGATGCCATGCTAGCCTTGGCCCCGGCTAATCGGGCCCGTCTGGGGTCTTTCTGAAACAGAGAATTCTTCACGAGGCCAGTGAGAAAACAAATAGGAGCCCCCAGAGCAAACCTCTGCCCCCCACCTCTTGGGCTCGCTGCATACTCGCTGAGTTCGCCCAGACACTTGGGCTCGAGTCAGGCCGCGAGGGTCTTTCCCTGACCTTGCTGACCACCTGCTCGTGTGACGGGCTTTGCCCTCCTCTCCCCGAGGCGCCTCAGTTCCCAGCTGGTGCTCGATGCCTCTGAGCCTCTGAGCTCCCTCAAGGCTGGTGACGTGGCCCATCTTGGTATTTCTCATTGCCAGCCCCTCCCTCCCTGCAGCACAAGCCCCCACGCAGCCCTGCAGAGATTTCATCCCTTTCAACCTCTAACAGGTGCTTGGGCCAAGTCCGCCTTCCAGCATGGCCCCCTGCTGGCCACAGGCATGGACTCTCATGGTAGCCCTGACCCTGGGGAAGGACGAGACAGTGAGATCTGGGCCAAGCCGAGGAAGCTGCAGTTCTCACCAAGGAGCCCCGAGAGATGCCCTTTTCCTCCTATAGGATTGTGGTGGCAGGGACGTGCCCTCACCCCCCACCCCCCGCTCCCCCCCGCGCTGGGCACTTTGTTGGAGAAACTTCTCTGTTGGCCAAGATGGAAGGGCTGTGGGTTTTGTAGACAGGACTGACAGACATAACAGAAGGGCCCCGAGATCCCTGGGAGTTCCCTTCAGGACTCAGGACTCCTTGGCTGGCATTCCAGAAACACCGGCTGAAACAAATGGAATCAATTCCTAGGACAGAGCAGGGGATAGCTGACCCACTTGTTCGCATCAAGATGTAACAAACGTCAAGTTCGGGTGACTGCTGTCTGGGGATTAGAGGTTCCTCATTTTAAATTTCATATTGAAACCCCTCAAACTTTTAAAGCCACAGAAAAGAAACTACAAGAAAGTAAATCTTGGGGGCCGGAGTGATAGTACAGTGGGAAGGGCATTTGCCTTGCACGCGGCCCACGTGGGTTCCATCTCCATCATCCCCTAGGGTCACTGTCATTGTCTCTACCCTCCCTTTGTTTATCGATTAGCTCGAGCGGACCCAGTAACGTCTCCATTGTGACACTTGTTACTGTGTTTGTCATATCGAATACACCACGGGGAGCTTGGCAGGCTTGCTGTGCAGGCGAGATACTCTCGGTGAGCTGGCCGGGTTACTGCCAAGGAGAAATTCCTGAGCATTTAGGGTGACCGAAAAAGCCAAAAGGAAAAAAAAAAGATAACCTTTTATTCCCTCCCTCCCCTCCCTTTCCCTTTCTTCCCTGTTTCCTCCCTCCCTCCTTCCTATCCTTAGCTTCCCTCCTCCCTTGCTTACTTCCTTCTTCCTCGCCAAGCCATGCTCTGGGCTCTGGGGTCCTCCCGCCCAGCAGTAGTGGGGCTTTTCAGCTTGGGGACCGATCTAAGTCTCGCCCAGTGGTGCTGCAGTTCCCACTCGGGCCTGGTGTGTACTCCAGCCCTTTGTGCCGTCTCCCCGGCCCCGGAAAGTCAGTCTTTCTCATAGGCTTTCTTATTTTCTGGTCACGCCAAAGTTAGGTCTAGAAAACGCCTCTGTTTGGGCCGTTTTCAATAACCACTAGACAGTCATCACCAGAACTGCCGGCGCCAAGGCCTTGGCTTCGTGAGCTTCAGGCAATCACTCTCACCTCACGCCTCTGTTCTTCGGGGTTGTGTTGGGTCATGGGCTTCTCATACGTGTTTTCTGTTTTGTTTTCCCCTTCCCGTTCCTGTTTGTCTCCTTGGTCCATTCACTCCATCCTTGTGACTCTGGTAGGCCGATAGCCTGGCCGAAGAGCTGCAGGGGAAGGGGCTAGCGCTTCGTAGTCTTCAGGAGAACTTGAACGAAAGCGGCCGAGCTGAGGGGCCGTGTGTGCGCGAGTGTGTGTGCATGTGTGTTTGTGTGTGCATGCTGGTGAGCAGAGCAGAGGGGCCGTGTGTGTGCGGGTGTGTATGTTTGTGTGTTTGCGTTGTGTGTGTGTGTGTTCGTGTTTGTTCGTGTGTGTGTGTGTGTGCTGGGAGCGGGCAGGGGGCCGGCGGCTGACGGTGGCCCCCGGCTCCCCACAGGAGGAGAAGGTGGACGTGAGCCGCAGCCAGTGCCAGGCTCTACAGGCCGAGCACGCCAAGGCCAGCGTGGAGAGCCAGGGGCAGCACGAGGAGGCGCCGCAGGCCCTTCAGCAGCTGCTGCTGCAGGCGAAGGAGAAGCTGCAGGCGGTGCAGGCGGAGAACGGGAGCCTGCTGCGGGAGGTGGCCGAGCTGAAGACGCAAGCCGACAAGGCCAAGGTGGGTGGGTGCAGGGCAGCGCCGTGGCTGATGGCGGCCGTGGCCCGTGTGTGTGTTGGTGCCCGGCCGCTTTCCACCACGCACCGCAGCCAGGGCTACGTCTCCTCTCTGGACCACCTGCTTGCCCAGTTCTGTGGCCAGCAGCCTCGTGTGCATGCTCAGGTCAGTCCCATTCCGGTAACATGGCCGTCAGCGGTCAGCTGCCCAGCACACACCAGTAGCCTGCTGCGGCTCATGACTGCTGAGCTGGACAGAGAAGATAGCCCTTGCTGCAGAAAGTTCTGGAAAGTACATGGTGGTTCAACTGTGGTGTGCATTGAGACTCAGAAATGAAAACGCACAACCCGTTGCTGACGGGCAGGGAGAGCAGGTGAGGGAGACCCTGACCCGTGTGCGGCCAGTCCTCCTGGAGCCCCTGGGCCCCTCCCAAATGACTGCAAACACTGCCCTCCCATTGCTCATCGATTGGCTCGAGCGGGCCCAAAAATGTCTCCATTTTTAGACTTGTTACTGTGTTTGGCAAGCAAAAACTGTTGACTTCAGTCTCCAAAGCTTGGTGGATTTGTCTGGATTTTCTATAAAGTGTATAACTTTGGGGGCTAAGTCCATTTCCTGCCTCTGTGTGTCCCTGTGAAAATCGTTTGACAAGCAGTGGTTGCTTTTCCCTTCCCCTCCTGCACAAAGTTCCAAAACAAAATACTTTTTGTAGTTCTTTGAATTGTATTGAAAACTAGTTTTTGAATGCATCCCTTCTAGGACAGAGTGATGGATTTTATAATAGAAGAATTGAAGTGGGGGGAAAAATCTTATGCCCCAATGTCAGGATCCAACTGTACTTACACCTTCCGGGGAGCTGTCAGGAATCATTTCAGACGGCATTTCAAAAATCAAATCGGCTGATAGTAGAATGGGTAGGGTGCTGCCTTGTACTCGGCCAACCCGGGGTTGATCCCCAGCATCCCGTATGGTCCTCCGGCCCTGCCAGCAGTGATCCCTGAACACAGAACCCTGAGCGAGACCCGAACACCAGCAGGTGTGGGGCCCCCATCCACAAAATAGGCAGGTAGTTATGTTGACGCTAAGAAGCTAACTGTGTTTGAGCCTCTCCATCCTGCCTGTGTGTGTAAATGTGTGTGTGAGTGTGTGCGCTTGCGCGTATACACGCGTGTGCAGGTAAGACTACTCTGCCATTTTCATTTCTGGTTTTTAGGCCACATGAAGTGCTTGGCTTGCTTGTGCCTGCTTGATCTCATTCTTGTTTCCATTCTTCCCCGCTTTTTGTTTCTGCAGTCCTTAACTTGCTTATTAAGCTCGGCCAAAGAAGAGATGGAGCTGATGTCAGAGGATCGCAGGGCCCTGAGGTCAGAGAATGAATTGCTGGCGAAGGAGAAGCTCTGTCTGAAGTCCGAGAGAGGGTGGTTTCAATTGAAACTCAGAGAAGCGGAGGCCAAAAACTCTTCGCTGCGGGAAGAGCAGAGGAAGCTCTGGCTGTTGAACCAAGCGATTCGCTTGGATAAGGAGAAGGTCATCAAGGCCAGGTGGGCCGCGGAGAAGCTCTGCCAGCAGGAGCGGCTGGACCGAGAAGCCCTCGAGGCGGAGAAAGAGAAAGTGCGGGAAGAGGGCAGGGCGGTGCAGGAGGAGCTCCAGAGGGTGGGCGCGGAGAAGGACGCACTGCAGGTCGCCAAGCTGGGGCTGCAGGCCCTGGTGGAGGAGCTGCAGATGAGCAAGAGCAGCCTGGTGGCCGAGTGCAAGAAGGGCCTGGAGGAGAGGGGCCAGCTGGAGGAGCATGTCAAGAAGCTGGTTCTGGAGAACCTATCCCTGGCCAAGGACAAGGACAACATCATCCAGAAGCTGCAGTGCTCCTACGAGGAGCTGGCTCGGGATCAGAAGTCGCTGGTGCAAGAGATCGAGGAGCTCACGGCTGAGAAGGAGGAGGCCGCCCGCGTGGCGTCGGCCCTGCGTGAGCAGCTGAACAGCCTTGGCTCTGAGAAGGAGCTGCTGGGCCAGAAGGCCACGAAGCTCCAGCGGCAGCTGCACTGGCTGCTGAAAGACCAGGCGCTGCTGGAGGCGCAGCAGACTGAGCTGCTGGCCGAGCGGGAGGCGTCCCTGCAGGCCCTGGCCTCCCTGGAGGACACCAGGAACACCAATGCGATGATGCAGAGTAAGGTGGGTGATGGTAGTGACCAGGGCTGTGTAGGCCCGGCCTCAGCCCTGAGAGAAACCATATCCTGGGCCATAGTGATAGCACAGCGGGGAGGGCGTTTGACTTACACACCGAATTCCCAGGTTCAATCCCCGGCATCCCGTATGGTCCCCTCAGCACCGCCAGGAGTAATTCCTGAGTGCAGTGCTAGGTGAGCCAGTGCCCTCTGACCTTACAGCCCCACTTTCCCGGCTCGAGTGACTGCTGACAGCCTGAGCTGTTCCACCCT